AAGGTCTCAGAGGACCAATCAGAGCACAGCTACAGTACCCCATGATCAACCAGGGTGAAACTCAAGACAGACATTACGCTTCTCTTCTTCATGGTCAGCTTTAATCCTGATTTATTTAATAATGTGTTCTTAACTTTAATGCTAACATTTCCATTTCTGGTTATCTGTTTGAGAAGATTCTATAATTGATACAAACTGGTTCAAATGATTGATACGACCTCGTCTTTATCCTCACTGCTCTGCAGGTGATTCTTGTCTCTATGAAACAATCGGAGGCTCTGAAGAACCTGAACATGGTGCAGTAAATCCTGTGTGTTCATCACACAACTGTTAAAATACTAGAATCAGATGATCAAGTGACTGGTTGACCGTCCTTTAAATTAAAGACAAAGTGTATCGATGATGTCACAGATTCTGTGTTTGAGCTTAAAGACATTGATGGTTCATGTGAATTCTTCTATAAAGAAACAAGCTGCAGTAGTTGAGATGCTTTTGTAGGCCAGCAGAGCTTTAATAAAGGAGAATAAAGTGTCTCTTCATGCATTCATCTGATCCTTCTAACAGGGACGAATGATGCACCAGAGGAGAGCGTTTATGAAAATGTGAGGATGGAAACAGCTGCAGGTACTTCAAGTACAACAGACCATGTAGTACAATCTGAGTGTACTTGTGTATTACTACCAGCAGTCAGCTAAGGTCAATCACAACACTTACACCTGTTACTCTTAAATAACCTTTAATCTCTTTTTTCAGTTGGTTAAAAACATCTGCATGGACAGAACCAGGGGAACGGATGACGACATGGAAAACCACATTTGAGTAATTGTAATTATTGTGGGAACTTCTTCTATCCTGATATTTGAGCTTTGAGCTTCAGTACGTTGGTGATATTATTCAATATAAAGTCATATTTTTTTATTTCTGATAAAAAAAAGCATTTATTACACATTTAATCTGTTATTGAAAAACATACTTCTCCAACATTTAAGTTGATCTTTGTCTTTTTAAGAGTTTTATTTAGTAGTTTCTTGCCTCTTGTCTCCCTGGTAACTTCCTGCCTTGTCCTGTCTTCCCCTGTGATTTTCTGTCGTCATGATTGTTCAAATGTGTCCAATCACCTGCATCTCCCTAGGGTATTTAAGCTGTGTGTGTCTCTTGTAACTGTTGAATGTTTGGAAGTCTATGTCAGTGTTCCTGGTTCCTGTCTGCGTTTTTGCCCCTTGGTATTTTTCGCTTTTGGAATTTTCGACTATTAAGTATTTTTGTTTTTGAAACTCTGCTCTTGAGTCCTGCCTTCCCCGCCCATCCTGACACATTTAAGTTTATTTTTTTCTTAAGAGTTTTAACGGGTGATGTTTGTATTTTATCTTCACCTGTTTGTGTTTAATACATTCTGTAATGTTTAATCTTTTTATGCATCATTAAACTTGCAGCTAAGCAGTGTTTCCTACAGTCATTTCTTTAATTAAATAAATATTAGAGATTACAGGAACGTATGTCCACATGCTCCTCCTGCATCACATTAGTAACATTCATCTAAAATGTTTTAAATCAAATTAAAATGGTTAAAGTACTCACTACAGTTAAGTGTCTTAAAGCTGAATAATTTAACTGTCCACATATAGTCTTTGATAAAAAGTTGTATGTGAAGTATTTGACCTGCTGATGTTTCTATCTAAATAAACAGGAATAGATCACAACGAAAATGTCTAAAGTGCGTATTATAATTAGTGATGGCGAGATGAAGCTTTATGAAGCATTGAAGCTTTCCATCCAATTGTGTCACACGTGGGCCGAAGCGTCACGGTGCTTCATTTGCTCTACTGCGCCATCAAGTGGACAATAAATGAAACGACACCACGGCTTTGCTGTGTGAACCATTGAATTGAATAAATGAATGTTTGTGATGCGTGATACGTGACTTATGAACGTATTAATATGCTGTCTGTCTTCATGATACAATGGCGGCGTCAAAAGGGGGAATGGAAACGAATTGGGGAGAGGGTTGTGATGTGAAATGTTTAAAAAAAGAAAAGAATTGAGCCATTGAGCCACTGCCAAATACGTATTGACTTCTTGGTTTGTGACTCTACTTATTTTACTTGGTTTGTGTTTGTCCAAGGTTTGGGTCCACTTGGTGGGTCTCCTTGTCCTCATGCAGGCCTCTATAATGCCTCAGCATAGATGACGTGTTGTTGTTGTTGTTGTATCCAAGCTCCCTTTCAACACAACAGACACTTCACCTTTTAAAATACCAGAAATAAGAAAGACGTTAGAACAAGCGATACGCGGTGTCAGATTTATACAAACGCGCAATAAAGTCCGAAGTGCACCAAATGTAGCCGGGGACTCACTGCGTTTCGCCGCCCGTTTTTTTTATTTCGAGTCGCGCGCCAGACGCACGAACCACTTCCTGAATCAGTCACGTGGTGCGGCCGGTTCGCGAGGCTTCGAACGTCACCACATACGTCATCAACACGAGCCTCGACACGCGCTTCGTGGAAATCTTCCTGGATTACTCGACACGAGCTTCGAGGCCTCGGCGCGAATGTCCTCGTGACATCTCGGTGGGTCATAATTAGTCACGTGACGTTCGTGTCGAGGCTTCGAACACACACACGCGCGCGCGCGCGCACGTGCAAGAGGACGAAATAACAGCATCCATTCAGCTGAGTTCTCTCCAGGAAAGTCAGTGATGGTTTTAAAGGAGGACGAGCTGCCACTGATACAACTGATCTGTGTGTGAGATGGAATCAGGTGGCTGAGGATGACGAGGGGAATCTGTCACAGCAAAGACTCATCGCTCAGCGTGTGAATGATGCTTTTCTGTCTTCTGGTCGGTGGTTAACAAGTGACACTGACAGCGCACGTGTTCATCGTGCATCTTGCACTATGCATGTAATCATTGGCACGTAGTCGTCTCATCACAGGTAACAGGTAGCTTACTTTATGCTACCTGTATTTAAGGTTTATATTGTACTTTTATAAAATACGTTATTGTACAAAGAAGTTGATGTAGTCAATGTGATGTCACCCGTCGGTCTTTGTACCACAATGTTGAATCTTCAACATGTTGAAAAAGATATTTGTTCTCAGTGTAAAACCCGGAGGCCAAACTCTCCTGGCTCTGACGTGGTAGGGCTGTCAACCAATATTTTATATGGGATTATTCCATGTTTCAAATGTTGACAAATACACAAAATATTGGCTATTTATGAAATGTATTTTTAATATAATAAAAAACGTGTAGCCTTCTTTCCAGTGAGAGTGTATCTTTGCCCTCCAAGCACAGGTAGGAGTGAAGTTGATACGCGGACACACAAAGACTTTCCGACGATTCAGTTGAAGTTTGTGATTTTATTGCATTAAATAGTATAAACAGATGAACCTGTGTTCCCCACTTCCTGTCACCTGTGCCCCTCATATCCAACCACCTGCATCTAATCACTGCCCCCTAGTGTCCAAAATACTAATATAAATACATCCAAACTAAATAAAATATCATGCCAACAATAAACGTAAATGGCTCCTACAGCAGCAAACAGAAGAAACATGGTGAACTTAAAATGAGAATTTGTAGGAAAACACCCCCCTCCCCTTATTTTGGGGGTCTGTTTTAAAGTTACTAGCATCTCATACATGTGCTGTGGTTCAGTCCATCTCAATCTTGCCACAGCCGCCCTCTGCACAGCTTCCACCCCCTTGTATGTTCCCCCGTGACCTTTCCCCCCATCACAGACTCTTCCCGGCTGTGGACGAGCTGTCAGGTGAGCAGATTCATGAACACTTGGTGCGTCGGCTGACTCTCCCGTTGCGTAATGAGGACGATTGGGTTCACTGGAGGTAAAAAATACTCCCATAAATCTGCTCTCCTCTGGAGTATTCATAGACTGAACCCCCTGCATCCGCATTTGGTCCCTAAACGCACCGTCGCTCTGGAGACGCCGGCGGTTCACCACCACAACCACCAGAGGTCTCAGATCCTGCAGAGGAGAGAGGACCACAGGCATCATCAAGTGTGGAGGAAACCTTTTTACGGAAGCAGTGAGAGAGAAGAGCACAGGTACTCCGTTACGCTCCATTACATCACTGCAACAACTTCTCTAAAAATAAAAAAAGGAGGGAGACGCGTGAGCCGCTAAAGAGGCGGATGGAGGAGAAACACACAGCGTGAAGCTGCAGCTGACCAGCAGAGAGCGCTGAGGGTCCAGCACGTAAAGCCACGGCGGCCTACAGAGAGGAGAACAAGAAGGTACGCGCCTCCTTTGTGGTCGTCTCCTTTACGACGCATTCGACCTGAGGTCCCCAACAAAATGTAACAAAAAGGTTCATGCTGAATTTTCATTGAAACAACGCCATTTATGAGTCCATGTGAGCTTTTATTAATAATAGAATAAGTCAACACAAAGCATTACTGTAAGTTTAACTAAGTTTCAAGTTGAAAAACATCTTGTCAGAGCTCTTTGAGGTAAAGAGAAGAAGTGAGTGGAACTAAACAGGGCTGGGATGTTTTACAGTGCGGTTCGATCCGGGTTCTCTCCATAGTTTGCATGTCTCAGTGTCCTTGAGACCCTGAAGCCTCAGTGCTTCACAGCAGCTCACTGCTCCTTAATCTCTAAGGATGGGTAAAATGTAGAGAATAATTCCACATGTGGGATTAATAAAGGATTATAAATAAAAAAATAATAATTCATAATAGTAAAAAAAACCCACTAGATGTTTCGTCCGCGTTTCCGGCAAAACGCCGGTCGAACGTCCGCACATGGCGGCCATCTTGGGAGGGAGAGCTCGCTCACCCATAACATTGTGTTGGTAGTAATACATGTACTTTTTAAATAACCATAACTTGCTCAATTTTCAATGAATTACATGTGCATTAAATAGTAATGCATTTTAAACCGATTTTTGAACGGTTTGGTTTGTTATAAACGTCAGAGATGTAGTTGTGACACTGCATACATAATATGAATAATTATGTTCTAAAAAACAGAACAATGTTCTAAAATAGGTACAAGATTTCCCTTTAGAAATATACATCAAGAAATGCTGCATGTTGAAATCCCCACCCTGTACAGAGATGTATTTATGACACTGCATACTTATGAATAATTATAATTATGGGTTTTCATACGAAAATTATATTAAACAGAACATTATTCATATGTCTGCAGTGTCATAACTACATCTCTGACATTAATAACTAACCAAACCGATTAGAAATCGGTTGATAATTGAGCAAGTTATTACTATTTAAAGTACATGTATTACTACCAACACAATGTTATGGGTGAGCGAGCTCCCCCTCCCAAGATGGCCGCCATATGCGGACGTTCTGAACTCCAGCGTAAGACATCTAGCCTTTATATATGACGCTTTTATCCAAAGCGACTAACAATAAGTGCTTTTAACCATAGAGAAACAAACTCAGAAGAGCAAGAAACAAGAAAGTGCAATTTCCTCAAATAAGCCAATTTACAATTTGCGATAGATGAGTGACGTTACAAGTACAATTTAGGTGCTACAATTTCTTAGTCTTTAGTGGAGTCTGAAGAGGTGTGTCTTTAGTTTGCGGCGGAAGATGTGAAGGCTCTCTGCGGTCCTGGTGTCTTCAGAGAGCTCGTTCCACCATTTCGGACCAAGGACAGCAAAATATATATAGACAGACAGACAGATATAATATCTCTGATTAAACCGAGGTTGTGTCGTTGTTCCTCCCTGTTGTTTGTCATTAAGCTGCATTGAGCTGCAGACACGTGACTTTGTTTCCTTATGAGAATGACAGACATCAGACCTCTTTTGTAGTAATAGTGACAATTGTTGTCTTTGCCCTCATCGCGGCCAAAAGGCTCCTTTCCACTGAATACCGTCTTCATCAGGTGAGTCACGTGACCTCAGCATTTTACTCTCCAGATGCTCTGAACTCTGACCTTCCTCCAGGATGTGAAATAGAGCTTCAGTCTGACACGAGGAGACGTCTCGTCGTAGCGTGTGTGTGACACATTGTTGTAAACCGCGTTGTCTCCAGGTGGAGACGCCTGCTGCTCAGATAGCAGGAGGCCAGCAGGCGGAGGCCTCGTCCCCCCCTGAGTGGAGAGTCTCCACCTCCTCTTCCAGCCAAGCCGAGGCCTGCTATGAAAACGTGGAGGCGCCCCGGCCCCCCGCCAGACCAGCAGCGCCATCGGCCACCCAAGAGGGAGGAGACAAGGTCACCTGAGGGCGATGGTGATGGCCGGCGTGCGCACGGAACGACGCGAGGCGGAGCGAGAGGCACCGGGCTCCCAGAGAGCCTCCCCGTACCTCACCGAGCAGCTGAGTCTGAAATGTCCTCAGAGGACACCTACGAGTCCTCCTTTAGTCCAGGACTGCATTTGTTCTACATTATTTGATTTAGCAGTTTATGGAACTTAATTAATGTCTACTTGTTAGAAAAAAAACCTGTTATCTTACCACAGAGTATCACACGTCTGTAGAAGCGGATGAGTCCTGGTGTGAATGTGGTCATGTGACACCACACAACCAACAGCAACACGTCTTTTTTTTATGTGTTAAGGGGAACAGGAAAGGTTATTCTGAGAAGCCTTGTGGTTCTTCTTCTCAGTCTCTGACTGCAGAGTTTTTATTTTTCGAATGCAAAATACAAAAAAAGATGAAACCCTAAAAAAACAGAATACAAAATGTTTTTTAACGTTAATTTACACGTCTCAGGCTGCAGTTCAGTTTTGATGGAAGAGGCGTCCCAGAATGCACCACATCAGCAGAAGCAGAAGTTAGAAAACCTCACATCTGATGTTCATCTGTGGTCTCTGCATTTCCACATTTCTCTGCATGTTTCACACCTTTCAAACTGTCTCTTGACACGAAGCGGAATTGTTTCTCACAAGCGAGTGTCAGCGTGGACGTGAGGATGGGACACACCTTGTTTGGTGCGTTGGGGCTTTTCTGTGAGTACTTTCTCTGTTAAATCATAGTTTCA